CATTAGACTTATGAAATAAAGTAATACTATCATTAGGGTTGCCTTTATATGAATCAAATAGATAGTACAAACCTCTGCCCTGTACCTAGAGCACTCACTGCAACCCTGTATCTCTAGCACTGACCTGTGCCCTGTATCTACAGCACTGACCGCTGTCCTGTCCTCTGTAGCTCACTATTATTGTCAAATGGACTCAATCAAATCTTTAACTGACTCTGAAAGACAATTGGTGTCAAATTATTGGACTTCACTAAAACTCATGAAATAAAATGAAAGAGAAATAAAGAGTTATGCAGTTCCCTATCAGAGACGATCGTGTACATCTGTTGTTTGAATCTTTTTTGCATTTGACTTTTTCTGCTTATTTTTTGAAGGATAAGGTGGAATTAAGGACAATTTGTGTGTGTGTATGTGTCCAGACACACTCAGATGCAGAAAAAAAACACGCAAATATGTGTGAAACAGTGTCTGCTTTGGACGCCTTTTGAAACTCGTTCAGTGGACCACTGGACATCTGCTGTACAGAATCAAACCAGACTTGAGCCTGAAATATGACACACTGGTGTAACTGATGTCCTCTATTCATGTGCACTACTGTAGCAACTGAACCCCCAACCCCTTCAGTGTTGGTGCCTTGCTCTGCCCGTTCAGCAGCAGACTGGCTGTTACCAAAGAGTGACCTTTTGATCTTTACTCAGCTTGCTAGGAGTCGGTTGGTTTCCATTTCCACCAGGCGACACTCAGAAGAGTTCACAGTTCAACCTGAGGACAGGTGTGTGTGTGTGAGACAAAGCCGGCCAGGTGAACAGCAGGTGAGCCAGAGTCTGAAGTTCTCTCCACTCTCCTGCTGTCAGGGTGTGTGAGTGTGTGAGTGTGTGAGTGAGACACATGGAAGTAGCTACTCATTAACCAGGAGACGCTGTATCAATTAACAAAACTGTGAAATTACAAATGGAGAGAGGGAAAGTAAAAGAAAACAGAGACAATGTGAGAGGGACAGAAAAGAAAAGGAGGTAATCCAAACTGACTCAAAATGTTCACTTTTAATGAATTTAAACTCACCGATGATCTGAGTCAGCAACAGTGAAATAAAGAAAAGACATGGAAGAGGGAAACAGATGAAGATGTGGTTCGTTGCAGCAGCTTGGAGTGAAGAGAAATAATAACATAAACGCAATAAATTAAAGATACTTAAAGCCTAAAGAGCTAGAAGGTTGCACTCAGTAGAGTTTAGATCTCCTGGCACACTCCAAACTGAGGCAGTTGTTAACCAACCAGCAGATTAAGAGGCACAGGTCTGTTGTACTCCACACAGAAGCATGCTTGCTGTAAGTGGAGAGAGAAGAGCCCACAGGAGCTGGGGATGGGCAGCTGCCTGGAACAATCTACATCAATCATTCAATTAGCCAAACCTGCAGCCCATCACACACAGGTACCACAGCAGAGAGAGATTAAAGCATAAATACATAGAGATGAACCTCAGGGTCCTGACACTCAATAAAATAGTTTGTTTTCCTTTTTTATTGTGAATCAACTGCAGGAGGTCCGTCAGCTTACAGCCATAAATATGTACAAAACATATGAGGCTGATTGTTCCAGTATGTGAGTGAGCTGTGGACGGATACAAACATGGACACACACGACCAAACGTATTGTTCTGCATTTGCATGACTTTTGGCAGAGACAATACCGCTGCTCATATTTCATATTTTTCTTCTTGTCAACAGATCTCATGTCAGGAATATCTAGATATATCCTCTTCCTCTGTGCCACAAAGGCCCCAACTGGTGTCCAAAAATCGGAACCAATTTTCAAGACAAGTAAACATTTCAGTGACCACGGTATAAATTTTTCAGGAAACCTCCCACAGTTGGTTTAGGGTTGGAGTAGGTTTAAAAAAATTGAACATTTATTCCAATATTGGCAGTAAGAATACAAAGGTTATATTAAAATAGTGGATGCGCTGCCTGGGAGTAAATCCACTCAGACCACTGCAGCGATGATAATCAGCTTCCATGCTGCGTGTTACTGTCTGATAACTGCACGGCTCAGTGTGCATTATCAGGAATATTCTGCACACAGATCACAGAGAAGACTGGATTGGCTGCAGGATTTTAATCTCTGTGTTTGTCTGTATGCACACACACACACACAC